GGGATGCGGGTGCTGGGTGGGACACCAGGCTGCCCGGGTGCCGAGGGCGAACACGGGCGCCTCAAGCGGGCGGCGTCCTCCGTCCGGCCGAGAAGCCGGCGAGAGTGGAGCGAGCAGGTCCCGGGCCGGGAGGCTCTGGACTGCAGAGAGGCGCGCCCGCGGGGTGGGCGGCCCGGGCGGTGGACATTGGACGGGGTGGCAGCGCCCCCTGCGGGCCGCGAGCCCCCAGCGCACCTCTTCAGCTGGGAGTCAGTCCCAGAGAAGGGCCAGTCGCCGCCGCGGGCTGCCTCATCTCCCCATGCCCTGGGCACTGGAGATCCGGGAGTCGACCCTAATCCCCTCTGGGGCGACATCCTCTCCCGGCCCTCCTGGGTGTCTCTTTTGTTTGTGACCCTCTCTGTTTCACACTCACTTCAACAAGGACCAAAGAAACCCGGGAGAAGGCTCGAATTTGTATTCTACTCATCCGGGGCTTCTTCATCCAGGTGTAAAATTACCTGTAAAATGCTTATCTGACAAGTGGTCAGCGCTCAATAAACGCTACACTGCATTCACACCCAACTTCTAGTTATTTCCTAAACATGTTCAGCAGGGATTTTCATACATCTATGCCTCCTCCAGTGTTGTTCTTTCTTCCTGGAATGCCATCATCCCTCTTCTCCAACTAGCATAATTCCATCCATCCTAGCCTTTTGATACAGTTCTTCCTTTAATCGTTTCTCTTCTGAGCTCCCCTAACACTCTACACATACATGCCTCTATCTCAGCACTTACCACATTTTAATTTACAGGACTGGGGGCGTGCTCTCTGTCCCTATAAGACTTTGTAGCCCCAAGGCCCAGCTCAGTGCCAGACATAGGTAAATGCTTGAACACTGTTGAAAAAAATCAACTGCTTGAAGAAACATGGGCTTAGTAAGAGTATGAGAAAATAATAATAATAATAATAAATTTAATAAATAAATAAATAAAAGAGTATGAGGCAGTTTAGGGGACACTCTTGGGAGCTCTGGTAGCATAGTGGCTAAGACACTTGCCTGCTAACCAGACGGCTGGCGGTTCAAACCCACCATCCACTCCTCGGAAGGAAAGTTGGGCAATCCTACTTCCGTAGTGATACTGCCTCAGAAACCCAAGGAGGGGTCGCTATGAGTCGGGGCCGACTCGACGGCACACAACAACAACAACAACTAAAGGACACTAACTTTCTTTGAGTTTTGGTTGTGTGAAGGTGAAAAGTGACCCATTCTAATGTTAGGAAATAAAACCCAAGTTTCTATAGATAGTGGAAACTGCTAGTGGCTTCCCATTATCCATGCTTCCCATTTTCCTTACTAACAGAGACCTGAACTGGGGCTCTAATATTGAGGCCTAACTTTAAAAACAAACAAATAAAATTACATTGCCCAGTGTCTTTTGCAGACAGGGTTGCGATGTGACACAGTGTTCCAGCCCATGAGATACAAACATACATTATTTTAGGCTGGGGCTCCTGGGGCAGTTTCTTACAGAAGGCCTACTCAGCTGGTCTCTTTCACCCTGTGCCCTCCTGCCTCTTGCCTGAACCACAGAAGTCATAACTGAAGATGCAGCAGCTGTCTTAGGAGCTAACATGAAGGAAATCCCAGAAGGATTGCACAGACCTCTCTGCTCCAGCTTCCTAGAGCTGCTATGCCTGACTTGGGCTGCCTTCCTCAGGACTTCTTATAACAAAAGAAAAATCAAACCCCTAAGACTGGAGCCACTGTTTTTGAGGATTCTATTATTTGAAGCCAAATACAATTCCTCAGTGATAAACCATCTATAATGGACAGATGCTTCTAATTTAGGCTTCACACATATGCCATGTATAGCTTCAGAGGCTCTGAGACCCTCTGTGGAGTCTACATTACATGACAAAGGGGACTTAGCAGACGTGATTAAGGTTAAGGACTTTGAGATGGCAAGATTGTCCTGCATTATCCAGGTGGGCCTAACCTAATCATGAGACTTTCTTAAAATCAGAAAACCTTTCCTGGCTATAGTCAGTCAGAGAGATGGATATGATGATGAAAGCAGAGTCAAAGATGTTACACAGCTGACTTGGGAGATGGTGGGAAGGGTCCATGAACCAAGGAATGCAGGTGACTTCTAGGAGCTGGAAAAGGCAAGAAAATGGATTCTCCCCTAGAATCTCCAGAAAGGAATGCAGCCCTGCTGACACCTCATTTGTAATTTAGTGAGACCTGTATTGAATTTCTGACCTAGAAAACTGTAAGATAATACTTTTGTGCTGTTTAAGCCACTAAATTTGTGGTGATTTAGTTGTAGCAGCAATATAAAATGAATATACCTTACCCCGAAATTGTATGTAAAAGTATGTGTGTGTGTTTATTAAGGAAAAATCCATAGATTTAAATGGATTCTTAAAACATAACCAAAACCAAACCCATTGCCATGGAGTCAATTCCAACTAATAGTGACCTTATAGGACAGAGTAGAACTGCCCCCATAGAGTTTCCAAAGCTGTAAATCTTTACACAAGCACACTGTCACATCTTCCTCCAGCGGAGAAGCTAGGCAGTTCGAATTATTAACCTTTTGGTTAGTAGCTGAGTGCTTAACTACTGAACTGCCAAGGCTCCTCTTAAAAGATAAGGCTGACCCCCTTTTGGCGTCACTGATCTAAAACTCACTTGTTTCTACATTCCCCTTGTGAACAGGAACCAAATAATGATACCCTTTATCACCACTCTTATTCAATATTATATTGGAAGTCCTCGTCAGAGCAATAAGCCAACAAAGGGAAATAAAGGCATGCAAATAGGCAAAGAAGTAAAACTATCCCTATTTGAGATTATATGATCCTAAACATAGAAAATCCCAGAGATTCAACAAGAAAACTACTGGCACTAATTAGAAGTATTCAGCAAAGTGACAGGGTACAAGATCAATACAGAGAAATCATCTGGATTCCTCTACACCAACAAAGAGAACTCTGAAAAGGAAATCAGCAAAGAAATGTCATTTACAATAGCCATCCAAAAGAAGTATTTAGGAATAAATCCAACCAGAGACACAAAAGACCTATGCCAAGAAAACTATAAAATGCTACTGCAAGAAACTGAAAGAGACCTGCATAAATGAAAGATTATACCATGCTCATGGATAGGAAGACTTAACATTGTGAAAATGTCAATATTACCCAAAGATATAATGCAATTCTGATCCAGAGTCCATTATTATTCTTTAAAGAGATGGGAAAACTAAT